ACGCACCAGGACAATGGTCTTGGGCTGGGTTAAGGACGTGACGCAGTATCAGAACGCTCTTGCCGACGAACAGGTGATCAACTTCTACCACTGGCTTCGCTCTGCCTCCTCCCTCTTCTACGATCCGGCCCTCCGACGAACTCTTCAGAAGCTAATGAAAAAGGTAAGCAGATCTTGGCTAAATCATACTCAATAGCAGTAGATCAGATTTGCACGTTGCTGAACTGCGGCGTCCGACTAAGTTTAAATTCGGTCGTCAGACAAGTTTCCACGTATGGTCTGATTATTCCACTCACCAGTCTCGCAGAGGAACACCACTGTCTTGCGAATTGAGGCTGTGCTGTGGCTCGATCCCGAGGGAGCTGTGGCTCGTTTTGTTGATTGTGTGGGAGATTTTCTCATAATCGACCTTAATTGCTCTCTTTCCACGTCCGTCCTCTTCCGATACTCAGGAAATCTTTGGGTGCCTTCGTTTGATAGGGATCGTTCAACCGACAGGGGCCAGGCTTCACTCACTGGATCCGCATTCATCCCCAGTCCTCTCGACCTAGTCTTGTCACCAAGACTCGCTGGACGTGGGGAGAGCGTGAGCGAGATAGCTACTGTGCCAGTCGTCAGTCCTGCTCTCATCCTAACCCGTACTGTCTTATTTAACTAATACAAGCAAACTACCAATTACCATGTCTGTGCGCTTATTATCATGATTTTTTCTGTCTCCTTATCTAGGTCTTTCTTAAACTGGTGGATGAACTGAATCAGAGCCAGGGGCTTGACGTAATCTTTGCTAGCTACAGTCGTCTCGTGCTGTGTACTCACCGATTTGACGTGGCGGATGCCCTTTCCCGAGCTGACAGTTTGCTCAAACTGCTGCGCAGTAAGGCTCTTTTTGTTCACCTGGATCTGCAGTACTCCTGCAGCTGGTATCAACTCCTCTGGTACGATACTGCTAACTACGCCGGTCTTAAGGTGAGTGTTCGTAACGTACTCAGTTTTATTGCTTATCATGCTCATGGAGATGCTTGACAAAAAATGTGCCCTTAGGATTGAAGGTCTCCTCCTCTTCATCCTCCTCCCCTCTCGTTCGAATTGATTTAGCTGTCCTACGAACATATACGATTTTAAAACTGTGAAAGTAGCAATCCTCCAATAGGTTGGTGCCAGGTGCTTGAACTATGCCTCCAGAGTTCAGTATGCATTGCTTTGGTGCCACTTATCTTACGCGCAAAATCCTCACAAGCCCGACATGCCACATTTTTTTATTTCTCTTGTTTCTGTATATTATGCTGTCTATTCATCCTTGTCACATTTTATAGTGCTTAGAGCTTCCTTGAATGAAATTTAACCTGCTGTATATTCTTTATCCTCCAAGTACCGTTTTTTTCGTAATTCTAAATTAAGGTCGATTTGGAAGCCCTCGAAGCCGAGGCCGAACGCAAGTCAGAGGAGGATACGACTACCAAGGAGGCTGAATTCACTGTTGACATGTCCTGGCACCTTGCTCGTTATCTGCCTGAGACTCGTGGTCTCCGTGCCAAATTTCAAACCCTTATTGCCGGCTACTTGCTGGCCACGAACAGGGCAGTGAACATGGAGGCAAAGCGCCTTGTGGAGTGTGGAGTAAGCCTCTCACAGCCACCCGTGAGTCCCCCACTTCTCGTTCATGCGATAAGGACTTTTTATACACACTCTGACAACTACTATTGTCGTCCTATCCTCCAAAATGTTGGCTGTGGGTGAGTGATTGGCTGTTAGTACGTTGTAGTTTTTTGTTTACGACTGTTGTAAAGGAGTCGGCGATTAATATAGACCTTTCCCATACCGTTTGACCTTTGCGAATATAGAAACCTATCACCGCCGGATGTTGGACAGATTGTGAGCACAAACTGAGGGGAAGATCGGAGATTTCGAAGCAACCGAAAATAAATTTTAGTGTTTGCTTCCTTTGTTATTATTGCCCGGATTGTATGGTTTCCTAACATCTTCTGAAAAGAAGAACAAGAAGGAAATTTGGACCATTATTGTCTCAGCTTTTGAGCTCCTGCTAGAGTTCCTTCTCACATGAACGCCGTATTCAATCAGCTGTGTGAGTCTTTATCCGAAAGTGGGATAATTTCGTTCGGTGGTATAACGGGCAAGTGGCAGAGACATATGTCAGTTAATTTCTTTGTATGATCCAGTCTCTAGTAGCTGTTGATCCAAAATGGTTAATCCAAATCAAGCAGTCAGTATGAGTAGTAGGCAACGTATCGCCCTTCTGTATCGTCCAAAGTGACCTTCACCCCAGTGGGACGCCGCGTTCACGATGATTAAGTGTCTCTACTGTTAGCCTCATCCAGATTGAGTACCAAATGTTTTGCTCTGTAAAAGGCACATATATTCTTTGGGACTCAGTATACTATTCGATGAAAATAACACCAACGACAGCTGAAAATATCGAGGGCAGGTAAATCGACGTATCTAGATAGCCAACTACTCGACTGAGCTCAGAACCACCGTCAAGAGATGACTAGAAAGATATAAATTAAGGGGTGACCATCGATTGATTCAGGGTAGCAGTAGTTCGCGAACAACAGCTATTGAGATGTATGCATTGTAATAGGCTCGCATCCTGTACCGCTTCGCAACGTGAAAGTGACTTTCAAGTATATACTCGTACTTTGAGATAGGTTTGTACCAGTGGGACAAGAAGATCACGTTAAGTGTTGTGATTAATTGAAACCCACCAATGAGCTCACACTAATCGAGCTGTGGTTAAGGTATGTGGGATCCTCCTCAATTGAACGGATCAATTAGAACGACGAGTCACGGTTTCGACTGATAGGTAATGATTAAAAATCCAACTTTAGAGGTCGAAGAGCAAACAAGTTTGTGAAGGAGTGATCTATACAAATGTATAACATGACGCGAAAGGTGCTCAGAATAGTGTTATCTGAGTTTCCCTGCTCATAATGCTACTGGTTTGCGCTATATGTAGGTGCTAAAACTGATAAACTCCTATTATTTTCAAGGTTGCTAAGATCAATTTTTCCAGGGTAAAAATGCACCGGCCATTAAATACCACGCCGTGGAGGATTTTGAAGACTTTAATGGCAGCTGTCTAGTTGGATCTCCTAACCCTACTTATGTAGAACGTGGCTAGAAGTACCCACAGTCTGCCTTATGCTTATGCATGCTTTTCAGGCACAGTATGGTTGGGCGTTCTTGACCAGCGATGCATTCTGAAGCAGCCATACACCCGAGTTTTATGGTTTGCAAACAGTATACAACTGTTGCGAATTTGTCCTACCCAATCTGATCTTAGTGCACACTTAAAGAATGGATTAAAGGCTTGGGTCCTTCTGACTATGCTGGGCTGATGTAGGAAGTAGACGTCGATCGCTTATAGATTTGCATGAGGTCGGTTAACTTGTTTCAAAATGTATTAAAATCAATAAGATGACCGAAATGGTGCACTCAACAAACAGGCGGGTACTACCGCACAAGAATTAACAGTATGGTTTCCGTGCCTAAAAGCTGCGCACAAATGTACCACGTGTTAATGCTTGAGTTATTACACATTTGGGTCAAAAGAAAGACCAGTTAAAGGCACGTGCTTCTTTGATTTTTTGCGAATTACATTGCTCACCGGGGTGCATTTGTTGGCTAAAAGTTTGCTTTGCTTTAAGTCCTCGAGATTATCTTTGTGACCCCGAAGTCGTGCTGGTAGCCTGCCTCCAGGGTGTGGCCCACACCCCTCTACTGATGCGCAGTCATAGCAAACAGCGCATATTGACTAACAACCAATATTACTCATAGTTGGACAGCAGTAGTTTGCTCGTGCCAGCGCAAATAACTGTCTTGTGGAAGGTCAGTAGGTGAATTTGTTACGCCTGTGACTTGTTGCCTTTGTCGATGCGGCAGTAACCCGAAATGATGGTTGCATAAATTAGGCTGTGGCTTGAATGCCGACCTTAAGGCAGAAACTCCACAGCCCCTCTGACCCGGGTGGCGTGAAGGGCTGTGAATTAAAACACTGCTTCGAGACACTGAACACTACCTTTTTATCTGGGCGTCGGTTGTGAATGTAGTTGATTCTGTGAAGATGTAGGTCAGGCAAAAACTTCAGTATGGTAGGTTACCGTCATCAGCGTGTATCGGTTAGTTTATATGTTTTTACCTTTGTCTTACTCCGGTGCCAGGAGAACTACCGCTACCATCGTTTCTGTGTCTCCGTTTCAATTTGCAACACAAA